GGTCCATTAGTAATGTTTTTCATAATGTTAAACTTTTAATACGTTATGTTTTTATAAAGTTGTTTGTCATATTTTTTTAAGTTATTTAAGTTTTAAATATTATTTGAACATCCACTTTATTCTTCTAGATATTTTTCTACTTCAATTAAAATTTGGGATTACTTATGTTGCTTGAACAAAGAATGAAATTTAAAAGTTATAAGTGCGTTATAAAAGTAATAACACTATTATAGTGTTATTACTTTTGTAATGCAGTTAGTGACTGGTGTGTTATTACTTTTGTAATCGTAAGCTTATTGGGCGGACCTGTAAACGGCCTATATATATATATATATATATATATATATATATATATATATATATATATATATATATATATATATATATATATATATATATATATATATATATATATATATATATATAAATATATATAAATATATATATATATATATATATATATATATATATATATATATATATATATATATATATATGTATATATATATATATATATATATGTATATATATATATATATATATACATATATATTAGAATAGATTATCCCATGTATCTTTAGACCACTGCCAATAATTCAACAATGGGTTGCATCTGGATCAATAATACACTCAGATCAGTGGGCTTCCTATGCTAATATAAATAACTTAGGTTATAATCATTTCACTGTAAACCATACAATAAACTTTGTTGATCCTGACACTTCAGCAACAACAAATCATGTTGAGGTGTCTTGGTGTTGAATGAAACGAAGGTTAAAGTATGTTTTTGGATCACAGGGTGATTAAAGTGGTCTAGGCTAGACGAAGCTGTATACAGAGAATAATAATAATATTAATAAGGAAAATCAATCTTTTTATTGTAGACTTCAAACTGTTTGTTTTTTTTCTTTGCCTTATCTAATTTTTTTGCTGAATGTAACAACAACTCTAAAGAAACAAAAATAAAAACAGTACACAAATTATTTAAATTATTAATTTGTTTTTATTTTTTTCCATCTCAATCTATTTTTATTTTGTTATTTTTGTTTTTGAAACTTTTTCAGCATTGATTATTATAAAACTTGCAAACGGCCGTGTTCAAGTTGTCTAAAATAAAATACTCGCTTGTGGTCATACAAGACGAAAAACCGCATACCTTTCCTGGAAAGGCTTGCATTGTATCCAAAAAGTCTGAGGGAGTCTCATCCGTAGGCATTTTTTCAAACTATTACTTAGAATATCAAAAACTAACCAGTAGTCTAGTGAAATATACAACTAAAGACCTAGTGGCTGGTCTTTATCAACAAAAATTGCTTTCAGAAGTATTTCAACTTTGATTCAATCCATTTTTACACCTTTAAGGACCTCCTTTTGTTTTTAATACAAAACTTTTACCATTTTATCATGATCTCTGTCAAAAGATGCTAACGCCCACACAAAACACCTTGTATGGTTTTGCCATGATTTGAATTTCGCATCAACAGACGGCTCATATTCAATATACATCTGACAATAGTCTTGTTGATCTTAAAAGTGTAAATTAAAAATAATGCAATGTAGATAAAATAAGGTTTAAAATGACATTGCTAAAAACTTGTTACACTTAATTTTGACAAGTGAAAGTCAAAGTGCTACTTCTATTATTTTCATTTTTACTATATTTCTAGAGATTTTAAGAAAAGTATGTCAGTGGAAAAAAAAATTGGTTTTGAGTTATTTTCTTTGTATTTTACATCTGACATTAAACTGGTTTGCAAACCATTGCTTTAAACAATTTGTTATTTTTATAGCATATATTATTCTTAAATAATAAGACTAAAATATCAAAACTTATGAAATTAAGTTTTACTTGCAGGTCAAAAACCACGATGCCCAGGAGAGAGAAATGTAGTCAGCTGTTCTATTGAATCTCTTTGAGTATTTCATTACATAGAATAAAAACCTTCCTGATTTTATAAAAATGCAACCTGAATTTCAGGGTGAAACAGCTTCATATTTGTTAATTTTCACTTAATGATCTGATTTTTTTCCACAAGTTTGCAATAATCTCTGCACTTCTTAAAACTCTAGATGAAATAATTTTAAAATTAGAAATTATACATTTTGTTTTTGCAAATACCTATTTTAACGTGAAGTAGTTTTATCTTTACCTTACTACTTTTTAACACTTTATGGTTTTATAATATAAATAGTTTATTCACTGGCTTAACAGTTTTATTTATGGCTACAGTTATATGAAGCTCTCCAACATGATGGCAGGAGGTTATCAAGAATAATGGTTGGCCAGGAAACTTAGCTAACTTTACAAACCCCTTTTAAATAGCCAAGGATTGAAGTGGGTGAAATGTATGAGATCAAAAGCATCAAACAAATTTATAATTGGTGTGTATTAGGTTTCAACACTATTGTGTTTAAAAATCATGTTTTTTTAATTTCATAACAAATTGGTGCCTTTTTAAAATACCACCAATAAACAAAAATAATAGTATCAAAAATGCGCATAACCAGTGTAGATAAAAAACCTTCCAGTATTTGCAGTGACCTTATTATACAGATAATGACTTGTAAATTTCTATTTGCAACAATTGCTTGAAAATGCCCTTAAAAACTCAAAAAATATAAAAATTTTTAACTTTAAATAAGTGGCGTGAGTATAAATAGTCATCTATAATAAAAAATAAAAAAATTTCATAAAGAAAAAATATCATAGGAATATTTTGACACTCTGCATATTAAAATTTGTTCATGAGGGTCAAAATGGGATGGGCTAATATATATATATATATATATATATATATATATATATATATATATATATATATATATATATATATATATATATATATATATATATTTGTATAGTTTAGCACTTAAGGGGACAGATTTTACAAAAAACAAACACTTACGGGGACATTACCATTTTTGGGGACATTTTAGTGTACCCTCATGCATTACAGCTTCCCATTGGAGTTTATTTAGAAGAATCACTAATGGCTCTTAACAAAGAGATTAGAAATGCAAGATTAAATTATTCATGCAAAATATCAAGGATCAATGTTATGAAAAATCAATTTAATTATCTTATGATAAGGAGTGATCTAGTTATATCAAGCATTCAGTTCACCAACCATAAATGTGAAAATGGGAAATTGCTCCCAATAGAAGTTCTTACTTTTCCTACTAAGTCATGATATTTGGTAAAATTTTAAAACTATAGTTAATCTTTAATATCTCACGAACCTGTTTTTTGGATAAGTGCATGTTTTACTGGTTGTTGGGCATAAAAATAACTTTAAATCACATAATTGAGTTTTTGACAAAAACAAAAAACGAAACAATAATTATTCATTTTTAATTCATATTTAAATGCAATGGTTGTATAATTTTTAATGGTTTTTCTTCAATTTGAATTACTGTGCGATGTGTGGAAGTTTTTAAATCATTGGTTTCAAGAGATGATTACTTGCCTGAAAAAAATGGTTGAATGTATGATAAAACAGTGTGTATTGACTGTGAAACATGACAGATGTAATGTTAAGATGTAGGACTGTTTTGGTTGGAATGCCACAGGTGACATTGTAAAAATAGAGGTAATAATAACAAAAGTAGTTTATTAGGATACTTTAAAAAAATCAAGCTTTACTTTTGTATAGCCTGAATTTTTAAAATTGATTTTGTTTGTAAGGTTGGGTCAATAGAAAGCAATTTATTTTTTTAGAAGAAGCTTAAATTTAATGCCTATTTTTCAGAACATTGTATAAAATCAAATATTAAATAGATTTTAAATAGATTGATTCCAATAGCCTTCCCAATTTCCAGATCTCTCTCCTATCTCATTTTTATGGGATGAGTTAAAAGTAATGCCAAAAACTAATGCCTAATGATGCAAAATATGTACAAAAAATTAAGAGTGGCATAAAATTGACTTTAACAAATTGGATAGTTCATCAAGTAGAATGCCTAGAATATGTATGGCAGATATTGCTGCTAAGGGTAGTTAATAGGCAAGTAAATTAATAACTATTATCTAACAAATTATTAAATATTATCTAATCTGCATAGTATTTTTTATGTAAACTTAATAAAGTGGAAGATAACATACAATTCAATTAATATTGAAATTACAACATATTGTAATGATATGTGAAACATAGTAGAATGAAAATTCAACAACAAAATCCAAGTTATCCCTTGCACAAACAAAATAGACAGATTAATGGTGTATGCATGTATCCATGAAAGCATCAGTTCTTTTAATTTGACTAATAGTTAATTACATAATAAAAATATTGAGTAAACATGGTGCTTGAACCTTGCACAGGTTCTGAAATAATTCTTTGTGGGTGATTCTATAGAGTAACTAAGAGATGAGCTACATAAACACTTTCATAGCAAAAAATGATTTTTACTGTAAAAGGATAAATATTTTATGCGGCCATTTTGCCAAATTAATTCTTTCAAAAATTTATAAGGTACTGTGGCCTACCCTAATACATATCTATATATCTATATATATTAATATATTTAAATATATATACATATATGTATATATATATATATATATATACAACATATATATATATATATATATATATATATATATATATATATATATATATATATATATATATATATATATATATATATATATATATATATATATATGCATATATATATACACACTACCGTTCATAATTATTCAAATTTAGAATGCTGAGAATATTATTAGCGGTTATTGTCGCTAAAAGGAAGATAACATAAAATTCAGGTAAACTCTGCTTACAGTTTCTCTCCGAATAGTAGGTAAAACTATATATATATATATATACTTTACCTATATATATATATATATATATATATATATATATATATATATATATATATATATATATATATATATATATATATATATATATATATACACACATATATACCATATATAACACACACATTTATTTTAAAAAGTCCCAATACATGAACAGTAAAAAATAGTGTTATACCTTGCTTGCTTGCTTTTGAACTGTGATGATTATATGCTGAGGAATTGTTCTTAAAATATATAATAAAATATCATTGGTTATTAAAATAATAATAAAAAGTCAATGCTATTATCTTCAATACATTTTTATCAAATGTATTTTTCTTACAATATCTTCAACATCAACAACATCTTCATCACTTTCGGAGGAACTGCTCATATCCTCGACATAATCTGTAACATCATAGCTCTGAACATAAAAAGATATAAATAAACAGGATATTTAGCAACGCAGGAAAAAATAATATTCTTTTTATTATGAATAAATTTGCAACTATTTGTTCATTAATTGGTTATAACTTAGTAGTTATTGAAAATGATTTTTTTTTTAATAGGATTTTCTACCATTTAATCTACTAAAATCAATATAAATCTTCTCTTTAAAATCTCTATCAAAATAGTTTTCTGTCAACTAAATTTGTTGACTAACCTGATTTTCTTTGTTTGCTTCTTCTATTATATCCACTGGGGCATTCATTAACTTTTCATTAGCCACAACTGTTTTATATTTTGTCAATGAAACCACACCTGTTTTAAGTTTGGTCAACAAATTTAAAATCACTAAACAAGAATACAATTAAAAAAAATTAATTTCTATAAATTTTTTTTCCCATAGGATTCATTACACAGGTCTACAAAAGAAAAAACTTTTTTATCTGTTTTTTTCTGTTGCTCAAAATATTTTTTATTTTTTTTAAATGCTGACTTCAAATCTAAAGTTTGTTTAACAGTTTTACAAATAAATAAAAAATTAAACTATTTTGTCACAATAAAGAATGTAACTTTTAAATCTACTTCACAATTTTAAATCTGTGCCGCAAATTTAAGTTTAAGCAACAGCTAAGGGTTAAATAAAATAGCTCTTGAAAGCAATAAAGAAAGTAAATTTAAAAGCAGTTCTAACTATGACAGTCACATTCTTTTTTACCAATGGAAATAAAGCACAAAGTCTACAATTTTTTATTCATTTATTAAATAATTATAGTTTTCTTGACAGTTTTTAGTTGTTGATATATTTTCAAGATTTATATATATATATATATATATACATATAAATATATATATTTTAATTTATTAAATTTAAATTACTTGTCTACAATATATAAATCAACTTTTTTTTTCTTTAAAGTTACTTAGATATTTTTTTCAAAAAACTGCAAAAAAAAGAAAGCTTTGAAGTTAAGTAAATAAAAAAATAATACCTCTATATAAATATTTGTTTACAAAGAAAATCACTAACACCATAAATATTAGCAAAAATCGAATATCAAAGAAATATAATGAAAATTCAACAAGAACAACCATTGTCATCAACCTAAATTTTTTTAAAATTCAATTAAAATTAATTTGTGCATAATATAAAAATATTATATAGGTAATAATAATAATAATAATTATATATATATAATATATTATTATATAATATTATATTATATTACTATATAATAATAACAATAATAATAATAATAATAATAATAATAATAATAATAATAATAATATATATATACAACCCTTGGAATTAGAAAAAATGAGGTCGGCAAATTATTGCCAACCTCAATCTTTTAGAGGCATCTGGTTGGCAAAAAAAAAAATTGATACAAAGGTCAAACCATAAAGCATAGAAATCAAACATTTTAAGGTCAGCATTGCCGAATGCTGATCCTAATTCCGAGGGTTGTGTATATATATATATATATATATATATATATATATATATATATATATATATATATATATATATATATATATATATATTATTATTATTATTATTATTATTATTATTATTATTATTATTATTATTATAAAAATTATTGTAAATTTACTTTATTATAAATAATGTCTAATTTACACATCACAATACAAATAAAGTTATAGATTTAGACTATATTGATTTAAACAATTCTAAAATTCAAATCTATGCAAATATCATGACTGCCTTGTTTCACTTAAGTCTCTACTTAATAACAAATGCTTATCAATATTAGAGAAAGTAAGAAAACAAGATTGATGTTTATCATATTCTGCAATGCACAATTTTGATTGTATTATTAGTTAGAATAAATTAAACTGTGTTACTTATAATAAACATAAGCTGTGTTACTTTTAAAAAATATAAATCAAAACTAAAAAATAAAAATGTCAAACTTATTTACCCACTTTGAGTATATGTACTGTATTAAAACGCAATGCGTAAAGTCAGAAATATGTTCAGCAATCTAAAACTTAAAGGTTGCTTATTCCCAATTTCTTTTTTACTAAACATTTTCTTTTTATTATATATTCAAAAAATGAGGAAATTTCCCTTAAGACTACCAATTATTTGGTGAAATAGACAAATGAAGTTTAAAACATAAATTAATAATTACATTCTTTTAATTTATGACCAAACTTAGAACTTATGACCAAAATAGCTGATTATGTTATGTTGCAAAAAAAAAAAAGCACAAAATAATTTTTTAAAGTTAACATCTTAGATAAGTTTTAACTAAATTAAGTTAAAACATCTGTTTATCGTATTTAAACTTATCCTTATAAAATTCTTTTTAATATTAAAATACAAATAAATATATAGATATTCAGAGAAACTTTTTTTAAATCACTGAATAGGTAATCAGTGATTGAAAAAAAAACTCTCAGGAATTTTTTTCAATATATTCACCTCACCAAGACTGAGGGGGCCAAAACAGTTAAGCAGGGTACTCTTTTTTTTCATTTTTGTTACAACCTCCTCTCAAACCTAATTACAAAGAAATAAATAGAGCGCAATACTAGCAGGGATGCAATTGGGATTGAACTTGGAACTTCTCATTTATGTAGCAAGTGCTTTACCACTTCACCATAATTGCATTTACACCACTATCACATTTATCAATTGTGATGAAAACAAATTTCTTCTTGTGAACAATCACAAAAACTAGGAATTATATATATATATATATATATATATATATATATATTATATATATATATATATATAAATATATATATATATATATATATATATATATATATATATATATATATATATATATATATATATATATATATATATATATATAAATTGAAAATATACAAAGAACTAATTCTTATAGATGCTTAATTAATCAAATCAAATTTAATTTATCAAAACAATAAAAAATTAATCAAAATTTCATGAATAATTATTATTTTGATAAATAATTCTATGTTTTTATAGTCACGTCTCATGTTTTTGCCGTACCACAAAATGAGGGACTAAATTAAAGATTTCATTTTCATTTTCAGAGTGTGCTTTTAAAAGTATGCTTTATGCATTTTTAAAGTGTGCTTTATGCAATTCACAAAAGTCACAGTGATGAAAATATTTTGCAACTCTTTTTTTATAAAACAGTAATAAAAAGAGCATTAACTTTTTAAACCATCAAACTAACTCAAATAAAGATTATTACTAAAAGCTATAAACTTTCTATATCTATATATGTCTATATCAAAAAATTCTGAAAAATAACGTACAAAAAAGAAACTTTTCGATGCTTCCATTTCAATATTCTAAATAAAAGAAAATAATTGAATTAATATAATACTACATTTAATGAAAATTTTTTAAATCTCTCTCTCTCTCTTTCTTTCTCTCTCTCTCTCTCTCTCTCTCTCTCTATATATATATATATATATATATATATATATATATATATATATATATATATATGTACCTGTATATCATATATAGGTCATATACACAGGTATATATACAGATAAATATATATATATATATATATATATATATATATATATATATATATATATATATATATATATATATATATATATATATATATATATATATATATATATATATATATATATATATATGTATGTATATATTTATATATTTAAACAATTTAAAATGTATTCTACAAAAAAAGTGCTCAATGTTCTTAAAAGAACAGAGCAATTACAAATTAGTAGAAAATCACTTAGCAAAATTTTTTCTCATTTAACACTGTGTTTCATCAATAAAGACTCATCAGAAAATCATATATATATATATACAGTACATTTTCCGGTTCTACGAAACTTTGGGAATCTACAAAAAAAATTTTAGATCCCTAAGTGATCAGGAAGAGCTACATGTAAATTTAAAAATTTTACACTCCAAGCCTTTTTTTTTTTTTTGCATTATTTTATTATTTTCACATCATTTAGCAAGTTTTCAAAACATGTGTCATAAACTCAAGATGTTTTTAAAACATTTGTGGTCATTCGCAACTATTTTTTAAAAACTTTAATTGCACCATAAACTTAGTGGATTGCGTTTAATCACTTGGCAACTTTTGATTTATTAATTATCTTACTTTAAACTTCAATTTTTTTCATGTTCTTGAGCACGAGAGGATGTTATATGTAAAGGGAAAGACGAGTTTTGTAATTCAAATACCAAAAAATACTGTTTACTCTAACAAATTGTAAATATTTAGAAATCTGCTGGTTTCAGTAATTACTTAATTTCTGAGAGAAGTATAGTAGAAAAGTTTAAATCTCTATACAACAAATACAAAACTTTGCGCAACAGTAAAACCTTTCAAATCAAAAAGCAAATTTCCGAACGCCACAAAAATGACTTTTACAATATGGTTGAGCAATTGTTTGACATCAGTGCAAAGGACTTTGAGATGAAGTTGAGACGCAATGAATCAATGCCTCATGATACTTCTGCTTTACAAGAGGATTTGGCCTTCTTAGATGATCAAAGGTATTTTTTGCTCTAATTTTTTTGCGAAAATTTAACCTATTTTTCAATTATGATATATCTACTAATTTTTACCTTATATAAAAAAATCATTTTTTTGAGAAATTTTGTTTTTTTTATTAAAATTTATTTTACACTAAGTGTTTTAACAACTTTTTGCACAGAACTAACAGAAATATGATCATATCTTCTAAAAATGACACAGAGCTTGAAGCAAGGTTTCAGAGAAAGATTAATAGATGCAAGAGGAAAAAAGAATATAAAGATCGAGTACAGAAGAGCAACGATTTGATAATTCGTGACAACGAAGAAAAAATTGGGGAAAAAAGGCAATGAAATCACAACTTTTTTCCTAACAATGATATAAATTTCAATTTCGCAAGTGAGAAACCTACAGAACCTAAAAAAAAAAGAGCTGAATCACAATTAGGTAGTATTAAGTATAATTTGTTAAACACATAAAAATATTTGTTTCAACTTATGATAAAATAAAAAGAAAGAATATAAACAACTTTTTCTAATGCACAGACATTTTAGGCAAAACTAGTAATTTTTTGAAGTAAATGTATAACTGAGCTAAAAATCTTTATATTAATTTAGATGCAGGAAGTGTAATTGCTAAGTCAAAAGATTTTGTCCCAAATAAAAATGTTAACTTTCACGAAGCAAGCTCAAAAAGTAGGCATCAGTTTAGACCAGCATATTTCAGAGTAGAGAAAGATATAACCAGTGAAAGTCTCATTGCAGCAACAACTTCCACCAGTATAAGGGCCAGTCTCAGCATTCGAGATCAAACCCTTCTTATTGCAAGCGTAGTAAACTATTTAGGAGGAGATGTTAAACAGCTAAAGTTAAGCAGAGAATGTCAGAAGGCGATGTTACAGATTTTTAGAAGGGGAAAGGAGGCCAGATACATAATGAATATATTAATTTAATGGCTAACAAGATGTTAGCTTTACATTTTGATGGTAAAATTTTAAAGCATATTGAGGAGGATACTAGACAGGCAACTACTGCAGATAGACTATCAGTATCTGTTACTAGCCCAGAGTTTGAAACCAAAGATAATCTTTTACTTGGTGTTGTTGGCTATAAGTACTATAAATCTCTTAGAATATTTTGAAATTTGTGACTATATTGTAGGATTCTGTTCTGACACCACAGTAAGTAACACTGGATGGAAATCTGGTGCAATAACTATTATAGCAAGATTTCTTGGTAAACCATTTCTTTGATTATTGTGTAGACACCATATTGCCAAAACAAATATTTTTTGGGCTTTTAAGGCAATTTCGATGGAAATGTCTAAAGCCCCTGCGAATAAGTTACAAAAAGATTTTCAGAAGAAATGGGTAACAGAATTTTTTCCTAAAGTTTCAGCTAGTGGTGCTGTAGAAAAAGTCAAACGATTTCCTGAGCAAGACCTTATTGTTGGCAGTGATCTCTGCAAAACTCTATTTGAAGTCTAAAAAGTTTGTAACTAAAGCACTAGAACATCTTCCCAAGGTATGTAAAAATAATATAAAATGAATTAGTTTTTCCATAAATATACTTTTTTTTTTAAAGTTATTAAATAAAATTAGGAATATTTTAGAAATGATTACAGGGATCTTGTTGAATATTTGGCGTATTACATGAATGTTAAGTCTGAGAAATTAAATAATTTTCACATCTATCAGCCTGGCGTCTGTCACAATGCAAGGTTTATGGCCTATGCAATATACTTTCTAATGCTCGATATGACATCCACAATCATTGAATATCTGACTCCTGAAAAGAAACATATGGTCTCAAGGGTAGCATTTATTGTTGCTATTTATTATGGACCTGCCTTTCTTATATCAGGCAAAGCAGAGCATGCTGTTCTAAATGATTTTAATGTACTCAAAATTGCTGAAACAAAACAGAGTGGGATTATGAAGTTGGAAACTCAGCAAGAAAATGTATATTGCTAATAAATGTATATTGTATAAAAGTTATATTGCTAGAAAATTTTAAACTCTGGGGCAAAATAAGTAGAGAGCTTTATAATGAACAGAAAAAGATAAGGGAAGTTTGGAATATAAGGTGTTGCATAAATTGGTATATTTGAAATTACTTTATTAATAAATTTTTAAACAAAGCCGAAATATTTGTTAAAAAAAAAACAATTAAAAGAAATAATTTTTAAGGATCGCATGAACATAAAAGTATTTTGGTGAATGATATAATCAAGTTACTTAACAAAAATCGTAACAATGGAGTAATGAGTGATGGTGGTAGCAGTGCTACAACAAATAATGAAAGAAAGTTGTTTGAAATGAAAACAGCCACTACGCATGTTCCAAAATTTTTTCTTATGAGCCTGGAAGAGCTAGCTGATGTTGATGCAGAAAGGCTCAAAGCAGCTTTAGAAAATTCTTTGCAAGTGACATTAAAAATTTTTTTTAATGTCATTTAAAATGTAGTCATTTAGGTTATTTCATATAAAACTTTATTTTACACATTTGTCATGTCATTAATTATAAGATAATAAATTTTTAACAATGACTTACGACTCTATACTGTCGAAAAACAGATTAATATCCTTGAATATGTTTTGCAGCAACATTAATCTAAAAAAAAATTAATATCCTTGAATATGTTTTGCAGCAACATTAATCTAAAAGGTTTCCAAATTATTATATTGTATTTTTTAATTTTTAAATATATATAGTAAAAAGTATACCTCTTTTTATAAAAATTCAATGAGGATGTCATATTCTGATGAGCTTTGTATATAATTACCAGAATTCAGTCATTATCATTTTTAAAAAGAAAAAAAGCTTACACACTGACCCACAAGAAAACCATTTGTTATGTGAATATCACAAGCATACTTGTTATTTAAATAACACTGATCCACAAGAAATGGCTTTCTTGAGGATCAGTGTTATTTACATAATAACACTAGCATATTTGTTATGTGAATAACACAAGCGTATTTGTTATGTGAATAACACTGGCCTATAAAAAATTGTTTTACTGTGGGTCAGTATTATTTACATGATAAATACGCCTAGAGATTCTTTATTAGTAATTTAAGTGATTTTTGCTTTGTCTTATATCAAGTTATATTTAAATTAGTAATATCTGTCACCTAATTAAAGATATTTGATCAAATCAACAGAACAACAAAATAGTCAAAAAACTATATTGATTTTCCGGGAGTTCCATCTAGCTCAGCTAAGGACCGGCAAATATTCGTTAAAATTCGGATTACGAAGTTTACTGAAAGGCAAAGTTGACTTCGGCTTCAACTTCGATGCCGAAGCTGAAATAGAAATTCAGCTTTCAGCTAAATTCGGAAACAATTTCAAAACTTCATTTAACTTTCAGTTAAATTCAAAAGCTATAAAGTTTTTTTCAATTTATAAAGAAGAATTATAAAATGTATTATATGTTTTATGTATATCAACCTGTTTCTATTGGTTACAACCCTCTTTCAGAGTTGAGAGAGGGTTGTAACCATTATAAGAAGTAGCTTCCTCAACAAACGTTCCCACTCAACCTTGGGAACATGAATTGGGTAAAAAAAATAAAATTGTTCATGTTCATTCAAAAACATTAAGAGTTGTAAAGATTCCAAAACTTAAACTTTCATTATTGCTGAATTTTTAGATTTTTATTTTGACGCAAATTGTTTTTTGTAAGCGTATAATTTTTAAATAAAATAAAACTTACTTGGCTTCACTTGTTCTATGTCAAGTTTTAAATTATGGTTAATTACAAGCTAAAAAATAATAACTTTAATTTATAAAAAATAATTATACAGCAGCCGCTGTGCAGTGGTTAGAGCGCTTGCTTTAGAAGCAATAGACCTAGGGTTCGAAGCAAGTTCTAGACATATTTTGCACCATGGGTAAGAAAAAAGGTTTGAACTTTCTAGTTTAATACTTTTCTGATGTACTCCGTCACAAAACCGTTAAATCTTCTCAGAACATTTTGAGCAAAAAAAAAAAAAATTTATAAAACTTATAAAAGTTCTTAAAAAATTTCTTTTTTAATTAAATGTGTTTTTAAAATCCAAATTCAGCTTTTAGTTAAACTCTGTTTAGAAGTCCAAATTTGTCTTTCAGTTAAATTCGGGCTACATATACGGCTTAAATTCGTTTTTCAGTTAAATTCAGTATACGCGTATAATCTAAATTCGTCTTTCATATAAATTTGAGTCTCAAAAAGTCGACTTTGCCGGTCCCTAAGCTCAGCTAATATTTGATGAACTTTAAAATTAACCTTTGAAAATTTCTTTTCATTCCAAAAGTATTTCACTATGTTTATGAGGTATGTCAGAAACTGCATTTTATCTCTCCATTCTCCTTCAATTTTATATTATTATTGCCAAAGTTTTTAATTAGCATAGATCATTGAGGTCAAATCTTAAAAATCCTGAAAATCATTAGGGTAAAATATCTGGAAAAAATCTGGAATATATTTTTCCTAATATTCCTCTTAATTTTGTTTTTAATTGAGTTGTTTTTAATTTTTTCTTTTTTGTATGAGTAGTAAGTGTAATTTTTAATTTTTAAGTGTAATTTTTAATTTTTTAAATAAGTGTAATATGAGTAATAAGAATAATTTTTGTATGAGTAATAAGTGAAAAAGCTTAAAAAACAAATATATTACAAAAATATATTCCTAAACTTGTATGAATGGAAAACATTTTTGACATCCGCAAAAACTAAAAGTTAAGAAAAATATCCTGAAATTTTCATCCATTCACATTTTTACAGTCTGATGCTGAACTAATGCATTGGCTTATTATTCACCAATTTTTCGCCACAGTCACAGCCACTACAGCCATTTTATTTAAAATAAATATTAGTTTAAAATAGAACAAATGTTCATCAAACCAAATGTCACATACATCACCTCGAAAATATTATGTATGTATAATTCATTTAGTGTGTGAGTTTTTAAAAATGGATATTTATTGTCATTATTTTCAAAATATAAAAGTTCATCATTTTATAACATGCTCATTTGAAAATCATAAAAATATTTTTATAAACCCTAATATGCACACAACGTATAAATAAAAATTTACGTTTCTACATATTTATTCAAGCGCTCTTTCCTTTTTACTTGCTCTTCATACTTCAATATCTAAATATCCAGAAACTGATAAACTTCTCAGAAAAATATAAACTAAGACATTTTATTTCGTTCAAATACCTGATGATAATAGTTGTCTTTTCTTTCAAATAGATCTTGATACCTTCTTTCAGGTACTGGTTTTTTACCAACTGATCGAAGCAGCTCAACCAGCATAAAAGGTGGAATTGGAATAATGAATGCAATGAATAAATATACTAAACAAAATTTTTTAAAATTACCATTACATTATTGAATACTACTTAGAAAAATTAAATTTATATTAATTAAAATTATAAGAAAAAAATATTCTCTGCATAAAATTATAACAAAATAATAATAAATGTTAAATAACAATAATTAATTATATTACAACTATGATAAAATAATAAAATTATTCTTTCAAGAAAATTATTAGCAAGTGTTTTTATGAAGCTCCATATATGTTCATTATGTAATGTAGTTGTTTTTATGTTAACTATGCTTTTGTTTTTATGTTAACTATATTTTTACAGTTATTGTAACAAATATACTAACATGACATTAATATATAATGTAAAAATTTTTTTCAGATCAAAGTAAAATAAACTTTAAAATTAATCTAAAACTCATTTTTTATTTAAAATGATTTTAAAAGAATTCAATAGGAATAATTAATTTATACTTTTGAGAATCAGTGTAAACCAACAAAAGATGAAATAAGGTTAACTGACACTTTTAAAAAAAGGGCCAATCAACCCTTATGATTTTTATATGATCCATGTAGTTTACAACATGATCTTGTCTCTCTATATAATTCCTTTACCATACAATTAAGTATATAGTTAATGGAGGGCATTACAAGATTAAAGTTTCCGTTATAAACCTGAATGTCTTATAAGAAAACCTCAAATAAACAAAATACTTAAACAATACCATTCAAAATTTAAAAATTCAATTTTGTTAAAAAAAAAATAAAATGAAAAATAAATATCTAAAATAAAAATCAGTATCGTTTTATCAGGATCATCTGATATACTGTTTTTACTTGACCTTGTGATATCCAAGATCATTTTTGTATGTGTTCAGTTTATTTTTAAACTCAAAACCATTTTGTATGATAGATTAGGTATAAGAAACAACAACACATAATAAAATGAAATTTAACTTGTCAAGATAAAATTAAAAATATTAAATATAAATTGTCAAGATACATTGAATAATAACTTTAATTTATTTTTACTTTTATATATTTTCTCAGAAGACATATTATTAAATCATAAAAAACAACTTACTTGGATTAATTATAATAGCAAAGCAAAATACTGACATCCAAAATATTGTAACTATTGGTCTTTTCCATCTAAAAATTAAATTCTTTTTTTACAACTTACTGCATAGGTATTTTAGATTCATTCATGCTCATTCATTTTCAATACATGTTCAAAATGTTTTTATCTAACTAGAATTTATTTACAATCACCAATAGAAATATATATCAGTAATATGAAACCCGGACTTAAAAAAAGAATATTATATTTAATTATGTTAGTGGTTAATAGCAGAGTTTCCATGGTTTTCTACACCGGTATTTAGTTTTTTTTTTTCTTTTTATTAAAAATATTATATATAATCATATAATATTTTTAATATTTATATTAAATATTTTTATCATCATCACTTTAGCTTTTTATGCTGTTTCTCTAATATAGACAATCTTGAGCATCTCCTTTCATTTAAAATAAATTTTGTCATGATTATATAGCACAACTGCAATATGAAAACTGTTATTATTTAGTTTAGCACATGTTGAATGTTGAAATGAGATAATGTCTGACTTTTACATAACAAAACCCATAAGAATAATGAAACTTCTCAAATATAAATTGCCTTTTCTCAAATTTAACAAGACCTAATAGTCTTGTCACAGAGCACCCCGGCTGTAACAAGACCTAACAGTCTTGTCACAGAGCACTCCGGCTGTAACAAGACCTAATAGTCTTGTCACAGAGCACACCTGAAGAGCATTTAACTAGGGAGTTCACGCCTCCTTACTGATGGCACTAAATATGCCCAGAACTCGCTCCAAAACCTTGATCTCTTGCTTCTAAAGCAAGTGCTCTAACTACTGCGCCACAGCTGCTGTATATTTAAGTTTATATTAAACTATTCAAGTTTTTAAATGAAAAGTAAACTAATAATAATAATAAAAAACTAAAAGTATTTAAACTAATATTCAAAGGATTTTCAGCCTTGAATAATTTTAATCACTTGAGACACTATTAAAGATAATGTTAATCATTTGATGTTAACCAATTGTCTCGTACTATGATAAATGACAGTAAGTTTAGACAAATAATTAGCAGATCCATTTCATTGCTTAGCATTATAGACTTGACTTTTCAAGCCTTTGAATATTGGTTTGTAGTTGATACTAGCTTCAACCTAAGTATTGTTTTTTGAGCAAAAACTAGGGCATAATGATTTTTTGACATGTAAAAACTCTTTTAATTTTATGAACCTGAATAAATTTATGAGCACAAGAAATCATCTTTAAATATATTATAATTGATCTACATTTTTAACGTAAATTTATAATATGCTTAAAATATTTCAGTTACTGTCAATACCTCAAAGTTCATTTTTTGTTCCTTGAATTATGTGGTCTTTTGGCAGAAGAAAGTATGCTACAAATTTACAAAAATATCAGGAGGAACATAAAATTGTTTATAACATTGCATAAATTTGAAACATGCTTCTAAACATAATTGTATAAAAAACACACTTTTAATGCACGACTCATGCAGAGAACATACTTTAATCATTGTAACTTTCTCCTATGAAAAACATAATAAGCTTTCTCTAATAAAAACATTATAGCACAATTAAATGTAACATGCTTCTTTATGCCAATTGACACCAGAATTAATATACTTATTTTGAAATAGTTTTTAAACTTATATTAAAACCGTATTCAAAACATTTAACATTTTTCTTACTCGAAGCTAATTACCATACTAATACAAACAGTACTTGTTTGTTTGGAATTGTCAAGTAGAAAATGGTGTAATAATCTAAACTTGTTTGTTTGCAAATAATGTCACAATAAAATCACATACGTGTTGATACATTATTTGCTGAGAGTATATAGAAATATTTGCCTGATTCGTTTTATTCTGTTGGCCGCTACAATTGAACTGTTTAACAATATAGTTTTCAGGTAATAGAAACCCCAAGTTCTAACAGTTTTTCAAAGATGTTGCATTAGTCTACCAACATTTCAATTCAAATTCAACACTGATGTATTGGTCTAACCATGTTGATACCCTTGACTAATACTTAATAGGACTTAATATAAATAATTCAATTAACAACTCAGTATTGAAGAATCTATGTATAAATTTTACAGTTCAAAATCTTTTACAATTTTAATTGTTTTTAACGTAATTTCAGTAAACATGATAAATAAAATAAATGTTCATAAGTGTTTCAGTTTTTTAACTTTTTTTTTTCAAAAAACTGTATTGAAAAAAATTAAAAAAATAAAATATTTTTAAAATTGTTTTTATTTTAACCTAACATATTTTTTAACATATTTGATTAAATATATAGAGTAATTTTTTTTTTGACTGGTCTCTTGATGAATGTCATTTTTTTATTCTTACTAATTAAATACCTTTGTTTTTATTTATATGTATCACTTTGAGTTAAAATATAAGACAAAGAAATCATGTTTTTTTTAAAAGGGGATCCCAAACTTCTGAGACATGTGTTCATATTAAAGAGAATGATAAAAAAAAAAATGTTTGGGCTAAATTTTTTGATTAAATAAAGAGAATAATTGCATACCAAGAAAAAATAACTTTTTTTGTTTCAGTAAATGGTATCATTGATTTTTTTTTTTGTTTAAAAGATTGATTATCTAAACAAACAAAAAAATCAATGAAGTCATATACTAAAACTCATAAGAATAAAACGCACTTGACTAATTTATCAATTCTGTAGATTGTGGTTTATATTATAAAGACTATTTGGTCTACAACAAAACAGAAAAGGCAAGCTTCAACTAAAATATTAAAGTTAGTTTTTCTTGGTATGCATTTATTGTTTCATTTTAATAAAAAAAAATTTTGCTCAAACATTTTTTAAATCATTCTCTTTATTTTGAACACAACATATCTCAAAGGTTTGGGATCCCTTTAAAGCTATAGACTTTAGTTACAGACTTTTCTTAAAAGAACATCTTATTTTGCCTATGATTGTGTCACAGTATCATTTGACACTAAACCAAAAATTAAAGAAAGTAGGAAAAATTATTTTTTTACTAAATATTAGAAAATTCATATTTATTTATACATTTAAATGCAGCCAAAATACTTGTACAAAAAAATAACAAGTAAATCATTTTTACGACAGCCATTTCAAAGCTTTCTTCACATATTAAATTTGTAATTGAATTTTCACCATCATACATTAAATTACGCTATAAAATTTTTTTTATAAAAAAACCTTTTTGTGTAATTAAGTGAAAATTTTGCAGATTTTGCACTATTTTTTTAATTCTTATAAAATGATAAAACTTACTGTATAATTGATTTTATATAGCCGGCCATCTTGCTGATTATCTGAATTCGGTTTTTAATCTTTTCAACATGTAGAATTAGTTGGCCAACATCACATTTTTGCATGTCATTGTCATCAATGGTTTCACCATCATTTATAAGAACAGACATTTTATAACATTTTTTTTTAAACTATTTATGTTATTTAAATCCTTTAAAATATCATTGAAAAGATTAAAAATTTATGCAAGTTAACATGTTAAGTGATATATATTTAGTTAACATCACTGCTAACTTAATATATATCAATGGTAGCTAACAATCCTATATAAATCTACTATTTCAAACTAAATAAAGTAATTTTGATTGTTACTAATACTTTCAAAATGCCATCTAATACTTAAAAATTATTTATTACAAAATTTTGACTTTGTTTTTAATAAATTTGTTTTTATTTTAATCAAACGAGAATATCTTGCTTTTCGTTTGTCTGCATCGCTCAATTTTTTTTTCTTTTTTTGTTTTGAAAGATTCATTCCCAGAGCTGCATCAATTTCTTTTTCAATGATCTTGCGCTGGTGTGCCTCATATTGTTGTTTCTTCTTTAACTCCTATAAAATTTTACATAGCAACTAAAATCAAAGTATAGCCAAACAAAATACCAAACATAAATATAAAAAACAAATGTTTTTGTTTATAGTTAAACAAACGGAACTAGTTTCCACAAAAAATAACAGAATAAAAAAAAAAATTAAACTTATTTAAATGCTTTATAAGAAATATTTATATAAAATTTTAAAAACTTTTAAATAATAACTATTGTTTTACACTATACACAAATGATTGTTATGTATCACAGAATGTTTACTATTATTAACTATACAAGTATTAGTTCCAGATCTTTTGAATAGAATAAGCTTTTAAACATCTAGCTACTGCTATAATGAACTGATTGGCTAATGTAACACTGCTGACAATAAACTGATTAGGATTAGCCAATCAGTTCATCATCAAAAAAACACACACATACATACACACACAAAAAATTACCTAAAATTACCTCAATCTTATCCTTTTCATTTATAGGTATTCCCATCAGATCTCTTTCTATAATTTTTCCATGAAAAGGACATTTTATGCTATCTGTTCTTGAGCATTGCTTTCCATTACTTAGCATAAAACCACAAGTTCTCTTTTGTTTACAACTAAATTTAATTTAATGTTTTTTAGACACTAATATGTAGTAAAATACATTATATAGAATTTTATTTTATTTTTTTTCTTAATGAATACCTGTTTTTTTTTTTTTTAAAAAAAACAGTAAATAAAAATTTAAATAATTTAAAAATAAAAAGAATCTTGCTTTGAATAAATGTTAAAAATGCTAAAACAAAATATAAGTTTAGCTGACAATGCTGCGTGTGAACAAGGCAGACTACAAAAAACATTACTGCCCAATTTGCAATCGGAAAGTCAAATCAAAATTTAGTGTCTCCAGTCAGAAAGGCTATGAATTACATCTGAAAGACAAGATATAAATTTAACTTGTGTCTTGAAAAACGCTGCTTTTGTTAAATGTTGAAATTTAAAAAAATGCGAATAGTAGTATTGACACAATTTAAAGTTTATTGGTCTGCAAATCTATGTGGAAGACATTCGGTAAAAAAAAAATCTTTTATTTCTATATAGAATCAAAAGCACATGAAAAAATTACTTAAATATATTTTTGAAAATATTTAAGTGAATTTTTTTTATATTTTTATAAAATTAACTTGAAATTAAACTGCTAAAATTAAGAACAGGTTAGTAAAAATTCATTTAATTTTAATTATAAAATCAATTTTTTGATATTCTAGTGAGAAATTCGGAAAAAATTGGACATTTTTACAAGGTCTACCTAATAACACTAGGAATTTTCACTCTGTATACATATTTCTGCTTTCTATATACATACAAATTTGTATTAAAACTCAAAATATATAAAATATAAAAACTTATATATAACAAAGTATAAATAATTAAATATAAAATACAAATATATAACAAAATGTAAATAATTAAATAAAAAAAATTTTAATACATAACAGTATTAATAATTACTGTCAAAGAAATATAACTACTTTAATTTTTAATTTACATTCAAATTATATACATATAAATAATACTGTATTAGAAAATGTCTTGATAATAACACAAGAGAACAAAATTTTTGCAGAGATAGGTCTGAAAATTGTTTTTTAATAATTTTTTAGCGGGGAATTCCGTTTTAGTTTTTCTTCATCATGTCAAATTTTTTAACCTTAGAATCCTCATTTTTTTAAAAACTATGAAAAATATAGAACTTAATAATGATATGTGGCTGCATTATTTAAAAATATCTTTTTTAAAGAGACCCAAACTACGTGCCAAATCATTCAATTCATACTGAATCCCCTATAAACAAAATGCTAAAAATTCTAAAATCTATATCATTGCTGTCATAAAATTCTTCAACATCAATCAGGTCTTCTACACAAGGTAGTTGTTTAAAACCTGGCACTGGAATTTCAAAAAAATAAGACGTTAGTTTTATTTTTCTTGTTAAATCCTGATGTTTTCACTAAACAAAAGTGACAATCTGTGCTTTTTGCTCTTACCAAACCATAGGAATACCAAATACTAATGCTTCACATTTTCCTTTGGCTTAAAGGCATAAACTCTCAAAACGTTGCTGTGAGAGGCCCATGACTTAACTTGATCACAAAGTTTAACTTTAAAACATACAACTTTTATTAGTTTGAAAAATGATCTGATGTTTTTCCTCATACTTAGAATCATGAAACAACCACAAATATAGCAAAAGGAGTCAAAGTTGTTTATACATTTACAACGTAAAGAAATACTAGCAGACATGATTTGAAATAAAGTGATATATTTATATACCTATGTAAATAAGTAAAACACTAAGATGAAATAGTTATAGGCTTAGAAAACTGAAAAAAAAAAACAGTGTAATAAAACTTAAATATATTGATTGTACTCACTAATTGGAAGCTATAATCTTAAATCCATAAGCGAAGCATCTTCTTACATCTAAAATATCATCATCTTTTACATCCAAAATATCACCTTCCCATTTTAAGTTTTATTTAATGTATCCAATGAATAATAAAAAGCTTTTCATTTGTGTTTTTACCTCTCAAAAAACTGTTAAATTCATATTGGAGGCTTAGCTTAGCATATGCATTCTGAAGAATAATTTGCAAATGCCCAGGCCAAATACATTGGAGATCTTGGCTAAAATTTGCCTATAAAATACTTTCTTAAACACATTGACGCCATGGAAATATTCCATTCCAAAGTAACATAAAGACATATTTTTTATTTTTGTTTTTTTGATTCAGTATATAGTTTTTTATTATCAAAAAACTATATACTGAATGAAAAAATATATATTTTGATCTATTTTTGTTAGATTTTATTAACATACACATTTTAAAATACACACAAACACACACATTATCTAAACAGACTTACTGAGCACTAGGCTTTTTTTCAGTGTTTTCAACTTCTAAATAAATGTAAAAAAGAATTTCTACATAAAAGTAAAAAAAAAAATTATTTATGTATTGATTATTAAAACAGATTATTAGAGATATGTTAGAAACTAAGACTAAATTAATGAGGGTTGCATTTGCTCGCAAAATATATAAAAAATCAAAAAATGTACCTATAACAAATTCCTTTTCTGGCACATCAATAAAATCATTTTCCTCATCAAGTTCTTCAACAATATCTAACTCTTGGTACTTATCTTGTGCTGCAGACAACAGATTTTTTAATTTCAATATTTTGGTTATTTTTTCATGATTAGATGAATCATATTTAGTAAGGACATTTAGCCATCTCTTGACTTGGGCAGTTTGTTTGACACTTTCTGTATACAAATCTTGCATTGATTTAATAATATCCTTATTAGATGAATCCTCTTTTACAATAAGAACATTATTTAGTTTAATATCTATAGCATAAGATTTAACAGCCAAACCAGTTTCATTTCTCAGATTACCATCTACAAAGTTAGTTTGGGATAAATCCATATCACACACATCTATATTCTCTGAACTAATATTGTTTGGAATTAAAAGAGTAAAACACTCTTCCAATTGCTTTAGAGTTGACATTATATTTTCAAAAGAATCAGATAACTGTTTGTCTAAAATGTCAAGTTTTGTTTTCATAATTCTTTCTTCTTTCTCTTTTTCTTGTGTAACCTTTTGTTTCGATTCTAAAGATCTAATAGATATATCAGAAAAATCAATGCATCTAACATTCTTTAAGTAATCAAATCCCAACTGAAGTCGCCTGTATTCATTAGAAAATCTTTTATACCAGCCATAAAAAGTATTCAGAGTAAATAACTTTAACTCTTTGGCAACTCCAGCAGGCAATGGTAAAGGATACATTCGTGGTTCAGTTTCCAAAGTTAAAACAAAAAACTTTCGTAAGTTGTTTAATAACAAACATCGAAATAAATGCGAACAAGAAAACAACTCATCTGCGATTAAGACACATGAATAGCGAATCTGAGAATGTTTTTTTTCTAACTGTTTTAACAACATTTTAAATACAATTTTAATGTTTTTGCTTGATAGTTTGCAATGAAACTTTATAACTTTTATACTTGCTTCATCAAGATGCATTTTACCTGAAGTTGTTATTTCTTCAATGGCATCGAATAGATCATTTTTTATGTCAATTTCATTCATATTTTAAACCTAAATAAAATTACTAATAGCAATAGACAATAATACTAATATTCTGTTACCATTGTTACATATTGTTATTTATTACAAATTTATTTTAATTATTATTAATTACATATTTTTATATATTCCTATAGAGATGTAATAAAAAGTTTTTAAAGTTGAAATATTTATGAAAATTTGAAAAAACATAATATCTATTCTACTTTCCCCGTAAAATGCTTTTAACTGATAAATAAAAAAATCAACAAAACATATATGTTGTACCAAATTCATGTAATTTTCAATTTTGAAATTTACATGAATTTTCTAAAAATTTGACAACTTCATGTTTTGAAATTCATGTAATTGTCAAAAAACTTGACAATTACATGAGTTTGTAATCTTTTTGCCAGTTCTGCACAATCAGCAAACACAAATAGTCATAAATAAAAAGTCAAAAACAAAAAAATTGCCTGCCTAAACCTCACCAACAGTCAATGTATGTACACTTTACTGCATGTTCACCCTAACGTCTAGTCAAAGTATGTATACCCAAACAATATAAAAGCTGCCGATTATGCAAACTTACCACAACATTTAATCCAAACGCTTTTGCAAGCAAAAAAAACAAAAAAAACAAATTCAAACTCTCAGTCATTGTATTTACAGCTCCAAATTTCTGTATAATATCATCAATGAAATATTATGCAAGGCTAAGAATCTTATATATTTATAAGAAGAAATATATAGGCGAAACTGGGGTAAAACACTCAGAAAAAATGAGGTTTACCAAATACACCTATTTTAGAGCCTAAAAAACTATTCTAAATGATTGGATTTAAATTAACACAAT